TCTTCATTGCTACACGCAGGCTTTCTCTAGTTGCGGTGAGTGGGGGCTACTCTTTTTTGTGGTGCGCGGTCTTCTCATTGCGGTGGCTTCTCTTGTTGTGGAGCATGAGCTCTAGGCACATGGGCTTCAGTAGTTGCAGCATATGGGCTCAGTAGTTGTGGCTCTCGGGCTCTAGAGTGCAGGCTCAGTAGTTGTGGCGTATGGGCTTAGTTGCTCCACGGCATGTGGGATCTTCCCAGACCAGGGCTCGAACCCATGTCCCCTGCACTGGCAGGCTGATTCTTAACCACTGTGCCACCAGGGGAGCCCTGGGATTGGTAACTTCTTGAATATAGTCAGGGAACTAAGATAAATACGGTCACAAGACATCTCATTCTGTCTTTTACTTTCATTCTTCCCTTCATAGTAAATAGAACTGAGCTCAGCATCTCTCTGGGGAAACACAATAACTCTGCTCCCAGAGGTAGGGGAAAGGATTCGTCCTACTTAATGGACCATGGGCACCTCGCAGTATAGGATAAGAGCTGGTCACACTGAACTGCATGGGCAGGGAGGACTAGATGGAAGTTTCACTGAGGTTTGTTAGGACTGTTATGATTAGACAAATTAATAAAAAGATTAGAAGGACCTTACAGGCATGGAAAATAGCGTCACAAGAGCAAAAGCAGGAAGTTGGGGGGTGGGCTTGTGGGACAACGAGTCCATCCATTTAACTAGGATCTCCCAAGTATAACTGAACAGGAGGTACTGTTGGAGAGGTGACTGGGGTGAGAGTGTAGTGGGCTCCGCATACCCAGTTTGATGTTATCTTTAAGAGATCGTTAGCGACTAAAAGTTCTGGGGCATGGGGAGTCATGATGAAGGCCGCGTTTTAGGATGGATTGGGACCGGCAGTGCCTGGAGGTGGGGTGAGTAGTTGGACTTCTGGGAGAAATGGCACCTTCAGAATCACAAGTGGAGCTGAGGACTCTGGCAATAGTGCAGAGAGGTGCCTGGAGAAGGAGGCCCTGAGTCATGAAGTTCCTGAGGAGGACTTTGTGGGAGACATGGCCATGACACCTGACTTAGAAAGAAGAGAAAGGAGAAAGAAATAGAAGGCTCTGCACAGGACATGTTGAAAGTAGGGTTAGAAAGCTCTGTTTAACTGCTGGGCTCTCACACGGACTGTTTTCAGCCTTCTCTTTAGTACTAGGGCAAAGACAGTCCACTGGCTGAGCTGATTATATTCTTCTGCAGAACCCAGGATGGGGAGTCTGAATTCAGAGCATCCTAAGAGGTGTCTGTGGCCCAGCTGCTGCCTCCTTGGCCAGAGTTAAAAAGGATGTTTTGTGAAGGTGAACTGAATCCTCAGTGCCTAGCACAGACTTTCGGTCTCAAGAATAAATAAAGGCCTTTGTAGAATCCTCTTTCCTCATTTTCTTTTGGTCAGTGAAGATTCTGCAGCTCAGCGTCTATCCCCATCTCCCCACTTAAAGTATCCTTGCCCTGCTGATTCCCTTGTTGCTGAATCTAGTGATATTGTCTTGTTCTTACCTTACGCCCTGGTTTGCCTCATGGCCAAAAAACCAAAAAAAACCATAAAACAGAAGCAGTATTGTAACAAATTCAATAAAGACTTTAAAATGGTCCACATAAAAGAAAATCATTAAATATATATATATATATATATATATATATATATAT